GTGATGCATCATGCAGGGTATCACCTTCAGATATGTTAGGTGGCAATTTCAAGTAAAGTTTGAAGGATTTAGCCTGTCAAACGCTGTCCAAGTATTTCAATGACTTTGAACTGAATGGTAAAACTCCACTCGTCAAGAACGATTGGTTTGGAGGCGACCGATCGTTACGGTGACCTTAATTACCACTGATGCATAGATTCTACTATGTAGTACTTTGCTATGTTTGTACTTTTGAGAGGCCTTTGTGCCTGCAGTTGTGTCCTTTGACTCCAACGTGTCAATATATTTAGTCGGCAGCCAATGGGAAATAAGTATTCTTGGAGATGCTCAAAAGTCGTAAGAAGTCTAGTTATTTCGAATAATGTACATCTTTTGATCAGCATGGCCCTTCCTGAATAGGCTTGACAGTAATTTGGAAATTCGGCGGTCTGACTGTGAAACCAAATATCCGGATATTTCCACGTCAGGCACTATCTAATTATCATGAACACTATTTCGGATAGAAGTACCTCGATATTGTGAATAGCACAGTTTTTGCTCAAGACACGAATGACTGATTTTGGAATGTTAGCTACTACTGTAGTATTACAGTACCGTAATACCAAGGTATGATATTATAGTTACATAAATGGACTTAGAATTTCGTTTCCAAGTTATGTGACAACAATCTACTACTAGTACGTAGTAATTCGTTTCCTACTTGCAGTAACGTTAGGCAGATACAGGGACTTCACGAGGTCACGATGGTCCGCTTTCGTTGTCGCGAATGCCTTTGTGACACAATAATCTCGTCGAGATTTCAAGGTTTTGTGTTGGAGTAGTTATTAATACTACTCCGAGTGTGCTATTAATAGTAAGAACTACGTAGTAAGTTGGATGGCTTACAGCGCAACGTTACTATTATTATAATAGTACAGTCTAATTTCTTACATGGGAATATTCCAATAAAATGGCCCAGTGTGACATTTCGGTGCACCCGCTCCCAAATAAATTTGCAGTTAGAAATTCTGACTCGACAAACCTTTACAACCATGCGAGGTCAGAAACGCACCAAGAATCCCATCGCATCACGACCCAAAATCACGTAAATCTCATAAAGGACATATTCACCAGTCCCCACTCGACGATAGCGCGTGTAGCACTCAAACGACACTGGTAGTGCTCCAAGGGTGGAGATGGCTAATGTGAAATTTGCTGATTTGCAGCCATGTGACAGTGAATATTCCACTACAATTATGGATCATTTCATTCGAATATTCCTATTTGCAAAATCACTCCTCTGTTATTAATATTCCGGAGTAACAACCTTTCTCTTCCAATTTGTATTTCCAGCTGGTAATTGTTACATGGCATGCATTTGAGATTGCATTTGTTACAGTTCGGCAGAATTCAGACAGTTCATGCGACAGCTGGTGATTACTGCCGTTTGATTGGGTGGAAACCCCACCGACAATCCAGTGACGTGACATACGAGAGGGTCTGGTCATTCGAGACTTTGCCACCAAGTGCAACATGCGAATTACATTAACCTCATTCGCCGCCTGCATTGCGTTGGCCACCGCCCAAACGCCGCCTACGACGGGGTGGCTGAACCCACTGGTCACCAAGGGCTCCAAGTTCTTCGACTCGGTGACGGGTGCCGAATTCCGCGTCAAGGGGATCGCGTTCTACCCTCGCGCGAACGCTGGCAAGAAATTCGATGCCAACTCGGTCGACTGGTTCACAGATGACATGGAGGGTATTTGGCGCCCTCACTTGGAGAACCTCAAGGCGTTGGGCGTCAACACCATCCGAATGTACGCGGTCGATCCCAGTGCCCCGCACGACAAGTTTATGTGCGAGCTCAACAAGCTCGGAATGTACGCGTTCGTGGGCATGGCTGCAGTGTACGTGATATATATGCGATTATCCTCATTGAGTATGTCAAATGACCTCCCATTAGTTGCGAAGGCTGCTACATTTTGGACGCCGAAGCCCCGTTGTGCTACACCGACGCCATGTTTACTCGTGCCATGATGATCTACAACGCATTTGCCGTCTACGACAACGTGATTGTATGAACTCCACCAGCACTCAAAATCACATGTCTCAACTGTCCATTCTAGGGATTTTCCGTCGGCAACGAAAACAACTTGGGCAAACTGATTGAAAAGTCGGCGCCGTGCGTCAAGGCCCTTATCCGAGACGTGCGGACGTACGCTGACAAGTGCAACGGATCGTTGCGACCGGTGCCCATCGGTCTCGACAATGCCGACATTGACACGCCGACGCATCCCCGCGCGAGTTGGCTCGGCTACTACGACTGCCTCAAAGATGGCAACGAAAACACCCGAGCGGAATGGTAGTACTACATAGTACATACCCTTGGAAATCAACATGGCCTATGTAATAACGACCACGTAGGATTGGGTTCAACCCGTACGTCGAGTGCGACCCCACGACCCACTTGACGTATGCGCAGTCGACGGGTCTCCAAAAACTCATGAGCGACTACAAGAAGGCCGGCTACCCTCGCCCGATTGTGTTTGGCGAATTCGGATGCATCAAGATCACCAACACCATCAGGAGCATCGAACAGCAACGCAACTTTTATGACGTACGATCCACTCGTTCTCCTCTAAAACCATACTAGTAGTGGGATGCTGATTGGTTTTAGGCCAAATGGATGAACGAAGAGCCAGACATGACGGACATGGTCGTCGGGGGTATTGCTTTTGAATACAGCGTCGAGAAGGCCAACTTGATTGACAAGTCGGGTGCGTAGCTGCTGCTACCTTTTCCAAATTGACAGGTTCTATCTCACGTATATACCGTTATATAACTATACTAGCCACGCCGCCGTTTGCTGGAAAGGATCCTGGCCGTTACGGCATCGGGTACTTCAGCCCAGACAACTGCGACCACGACACCATTCCGTGCACGTACTCGAAGTACCCCGAGTTTGATCACCTGGCCCAGGCGTACAACACCACCAAGCCGTCTACACTCACCCTCAAGTCGTTTGAGCCCACGCGTAAGGAGTCCATGGCGTGTCCCGCCGACTTTCCCACGGTGCCGCTGCCGGCTCGCCCCAACGGTACGTCTGCTGTCTCACAATTCTAAAGCTCACGACTGGTGATGCAGTCAAAATCTTCGAATGCTCGGTGTACCAGCCCCAGTGCAATGGCGGGTCATCCAACAAACAAGTGACGGTCCAGCCGGACGCGTCCACCGCTGCCCCCAAGAAACCGTTCGGTCCGGCGTCCGCGCCCACGTCAGCCCCCGCGGACCCATCGACCCCTGGCTCGAATGACGCCTCTTCTGCCGCGCTAACCATGGCTGCTGTTGGGGTGTGTGCGGCGATGGTGCAGTTTGTGTAACGCGACGATTGTAGTCGACATTTTATAAGTAAGGCCGGGCGGGGTATACAACCATGTCCGTGATCACGCGTCGTCAAACGAACGTTATACAACTGATCGTTGTGGTGGGCGTACATTATCTAGGATGAGCATATCCATCCTTTCGGAACTAGTATATCATTTCAACTAGTACTACTAATACAGTCTGATGCAAAACGTTAAGACATCAAGTATATTTGATATCCATCCTTTCGGAACTAGTATATCATTTCAACTAGTACTACTAATACAGTCTGATGCAAAACGTTAAGACATCAAGTATATTTGATATCCATCCTTTCGGAACTAGTATATCATTTCAACTAGTACTACTA